CCATGTTCATTTCAAAGTCTCAGACGTGACTATAGTGCTTCAGCTGTGTCAGAAGGTGTGTTGAAGTTGTAGAAGAACGAGCAAGGTAAGAAAAAAAAACCTCAGGCCGCACGTGCGGGCATTTTCTCTGCACAGCTTGCGCAACCGAGCTCTCCTTGCAGTCTGCCAGCGGCGGCCTCAGCGTTTTCTGTTGCTGGTGCTTTTTTGCCGGTAGATATGACCTTTCTGATGACAACTCCTGCCATTTTTTTTGCAAAACTTCCCCAAGCTTGCTCTGCCTGAGCCTGCTGCGCCCGCTCCCTGAAATCACTTTGCTGGTTGTTCGTCGGGAGTGAAGGAACGGAACAAATACTGGAAGCCACTATAGTAGTGTTCCTTTTCTTTTCCATTATCCCAATATGAACCCAATATACTATAGTCGTTTCCTTTTTATTTTCCCTTATCATACAGGCTACTATATTACTCCAGTTTATACAGGCAGCACACGAAGTCTGAAATCAGAAGTGAGGGGTGCTTGCCCCAATATACACCAGTTTAAATATAGTAGTTTCCAGTATTTTTCCATTATCCCTATATACCCCAATAATATACCCCATGTTCTATCTACTAAAAGGGGACTGTAGACCCTAAACCCTAAACCCTATAAACTCTATAAACCATACAAACGTTAAAACCTTAAAAACCCTAAAAACCCTGAACCCTAAACTCTAATCATAAGCCAGGGGGGCTTGGGATCAGGTCCCCGATGTCCGGTCTGCCGGCAAGCCTTTCAGCCGCCCCCGCACCGGCCCCCGGACCCGCGCGAGGCGTGGGCTCAGGGTTTTGGGGTTTAGGGGATAATGGAAAACAAAATGGAAACTACTAAAATGGATTATATAGCGTTGAGGGTTTAGGGTCTGATCCCCATGAAGCGGTTTAAATCTCAAGGATGGTGATGAAATAGTTGCTGTGGCCTAAGTCAGGTAAGGTGTTTGCCACGAAGAGGGGAACGGTTGAGGTTGGGTTCAGGGTCTTCAAGGGAGGCTGGTCAGGGGCTCAGGGTCTGGCTTGGCCAGTTTCTTATGGTTTGTACCGGCAGGTGGGTGGACATCATCCAGGGTTCAGGGATGTAGGCCAGAGACTAAAGGCGTTTCGGGGACTTTGATTTTTTTTGCTGTAGTCGCATTGATGTTGATATTGGGAGGAGAACGTGAATTTCAGGCAGTTCTAGCATTCGCAGGCAGAGGCGCCTGGCTTTACTGTCCCCAAATTAACATGGAACCCCGCTGGGCTCCTTTTGAAAGGATGGTGGGCTATAATTATAGGGTTCTCTTTGGGAGTCATGAACAGTCCAAGTGTGAAGACTATGCCGCGCATACCAATTTACGTAGAACCTTTCTGTACGCAGCCGTCCCAAAACGCCATCCGTCCATACTCCGGGCACTTTACATTGTATGTACATATGCAAATACTGAAACGATGTACAGAGATACAGACATATGGATGTGACGAGCTATATGAAGCATAACCAAGCTTTGAAAGATAACAATCCGAAATCCTGCAAGCCTTTAGAACCCTAAACTCTCGTTCTAATCGCTTAGGCTCTAAGATCTCCCAACCCCACAACCCCAAAATCCCAAACCCAACATCTCAAACCCAACATCTCAAACCCAAAATCCCAAACCCAAAATCCCAAACTCAAAATCCAACACCCTTAAGCTTCAAAATGCTTATGGAGGATCCAGCTGCCTGGTTTGCCTTCTTTGACGAAGATGGTTCGGGCTATCTTGAAAGGCAGCTCCTCGAGAAGGCCCCTTTTCCAATGTAATGGACAAGAAAATGGCAACTACTGGGGTTATATATATATATATTATACTGTTGATGGAGGGAATCTTGCACCATCTTAAGTCCCTAGAGTCCTAGGAATTACAGTAGTTTAGGGCCCCTAGGTGGTGCAAGATTTCCTCCATCAACAGTATTAGGGTTACATTGGGAGAATGGAAAATAAAATGGAAACTACTATTTAGGGTTTAGGGCTAGGGCGTTTATGAATCAATGGTCTGAATAATCTGTTTAGGTTGAGAGCTTTAAGGTTTAAGGTATAGGGTTTAGAGT